GTCACTGATTGAAATGTTACTTGACTTAAAGTATTAAAGTATCTGAAATGTCTTGTACTTAAGTCTGGAAATTACTGTAACAATGGATGAACTCAGTGATGTAATGAAAAGTACAAGTAAAAAGTAAAACAAGGTAAATGCAGTTTGAATGACATTTTTATATTTTGGTAAACTTGTTAAATACACTTAAAATAATGAACACAACCAAGTGCAGGCAAAATGAAACCTGCTAATAGATAAACCTGCAGCATCATTTAGTTAAGAACATTAGGTGCTTTACCTACAAGGTTAACTTAACCTGCTTTAGGTTAACTTAACCTGCTTTAGGTTAACTTACCCTGCTTTAAGTTAACTTAACCTGCTTTAGATTAACTTAACCTGCTTTAGGTTAACTTACCCTGCTTTAAGTTAACTTAACCTGCTTTAGATTAACTTAACCTGCTTTAGGTTAACTTACCCTGCTTTAAGTTAACTTAACCTGCTTTAGATTAACTTAACCTGCTTAGATTAACTTGACCTGCTTTACTGAACCAGCTTCTTAGTAAACCCTCCCAGGACAGAAAATACAAAGTTTCTATAAGCCTGAAGTTTTCCCTTTCAGTAAGGTCAGTGCTGAAAATGAGAAAAATAAATAGTCAGTACAGGAAATGCAGCAAACATGAAAAAACCTGTTAGGATTCCTCTACTTCACACTATAGGTGCAACAACTGGTCATTATGCAAAAGAAAAAGAATTGGGAGGGAAATGCAGCTTATTGACATCTGAAGAGGGAGAGATTTTAGTTAACTTGGTGTTTAATGGGAGAAGCGAAACAGGTGCATCTATTGGTGGTGATGAACAACAGGTAAGCAGGCCTGAGTTTGTTGCAGTCAATCAATAGGTTGAGGTCAAAACATGTTTCTCTCTCTCTCTCTTGCTTTCTTGACGGGATTCTCTTATGACTTGATCAACCCACAAAAAAAAAAAGACTTCCCAAGGCCGGAGATCACTTCAGTGAATTTTATTATCAATTCAGTGAACAAAGACGCCAAGTATGGACAAAAGACCTTGGATCCATGGCAGAAAGCCACAGGCTCCACCCACAGAAAGCCACAGGCTCCACCCACAGAATGCCACAGGCTCTACCCACAGTAAGCCACAGGCTCCACCCACAGAAAGCCACAGGCTCCACCCACAGAAAGCCACAGGCTCCACCCACAGAATGCCACAGGCTCTACCCACAGTAAGCCACAGGCTCCACCCACAGAAAGCCACAGGCTCCACCCACAGAATGCCACAGGCTCCACCCACAGTAAGCCACAGGCTCCACCCACAGTAAGCCACAGGCTCCACCCACAGTAAGCCACAGGCTCCACCCACAGAAAGTGCAATCAAGAAAAACAAAACTAATTACTCCCAACTCGAATGAATTCTTAAAGTATACAAAATAATTAATAAGAGAAAAAAATAAATAAACTTGTAATCCAAAAATACAATAATCCATTTAACATCCAACACTCAGTACGTCCTGATGACGTCACCACATCGCACAACTCTCCCAGACCGTCACAATCTGGAAACAAGACAATTGAAAATAAAGCAAGAAAATGTTTGAAAATGACAGAAAAGGATTAATTTGAACTGAAGCGAGAAAAACGAATGAACTGCGGCAGTCCAAGCTGCAACAAACATAAGTTAGAGATTGTGTGGTGTGTGTGTGTGTGTGTGTGTGTGGTGTGTCAACTCTTTAATTAGGTCCTATCTCGCCACAGTAACCAGTAACTAAACCACACATTGAAAATGTATCGAAGTAAAAGTTTGCAATTAAGTTCAGAAATATAGTGAAGTAAAAGTGAAAGTTATCAAAAATTTTCATACTCAAGGAAAATATGAAGTACTCCAAAATATACTGAAGTAAAGTAGTGAAGTACACTACTTCACTACTTCACTACTTCACTACTAGCTCTGCTCCTGCTGGAGGCTGCAGGTGTTTATCTGACACACAGTCAGTTATCATTTTATGGACAAGTGAGAAAATGTACAGACAGACTTATAACCTCTGACCTCAACAGAGCTTCAGTTAAAAACCTGCTGGCTCCGCCTCCAGGTGATGAAGGTGGAGCAGCAGGAGGCCAGGTTGGTTCTGCTCTGCTGCTTGGTCCTGATCGGTTCTGGTGTTGTGTTGGGATGGCTCTGCTGGAGTCGGGTCCAGTTGAATGAAGGAGCTGCTCGGTTCCGATGGGTTCTGGAGTGGCTCGTTTGGACCGGCCGCTGCGTCTCCGTGGCGCCGGGCAGGACGTGATTCCTGGTGGCAGCGGCTCCAGCCGACCGCGTCCCTCCATCACATTAATTATGCTAAGCAGCCGAGAGGCCAGAGGGGCGGAGCTACCGGGGCGGCCCGACGGCGGCCCGGTGGCGGCCGGTGGCGGCCCGACGGCGTCCCGACGGCGGCCCGCGGTCAGCCGTGATGACCGCAGCAGACAGGCGAGTCGGGGAGCTAAAAACAGCTGCAGGGCGAATCAGCATGCAGAGGATCTGAGGATGCGCTCAGCTGGGAGGCGGAGGCTCCTGGTTCTGCTGGTTCTGCTGGTTCTGCTGGTTCCTTCCTAGGCTGTAAACATCTCGGTAACCTCTGACCCGTCCACTCTGTGAGGACGTCCGCTGTCCTGTCGTCTCCAGGACAACCGCATCTTGTTGAAGGTCTCGTTGCGCTTCAGACCCAGATGGGTTCTCCTCCCAGGTTCTGGTTCTGCTTCAGGACTTGCTGCGGATCTCCATGAATGTTCGTGGTTCTTCTCATGTGAGTTCAAAACGTCTAAAGTTCTGGACCCGGTTCTGCTGGGAGTCCCAGAACTTTCTAGAGGAAAAGGAGACGCAGAGTCCAGCAGCTCCACCTTCCAGCCTCTAGATGGCGTCAGCTCCCCTCAGTGGTTCCGTCTGGCCCACTGAGTCAGAACCGGCAGCTCAGATATCAAAGCTTCCCCGCCGCATTGATGTCCGGACGGATCCGGAGCCTCGGTCCGGCCCAGATGAAAGCGGCGGCGCCTCCAGGGGAACAAAGCGGCTTTTCTTCATCCTGAGCAGGAAACCCAACCGAACCTTCAGCCTGAGACACCCGATCCCATCAGAACCTCTGCCTGTCAGTACAACCCGGTTCTGATTGGGTTTGACCCGTCTGGCTGTGGGTTCATAGGAGGTTCTACAGAACCGGGCCGCCCACTGACTCTGCTCCTTATAAAACACCTGAGGTTCTAATGGATTTCCCAGAACCTCAGCAGAACCTCAGCAGAACCTCAGCAGACGGCCATAGGTACCTGAAGTCGTGGTCCAGTCTGCTCACCTGGTGAAGCTGGCGAAACCTTTCAGAATAAAAGTTCTGTAGCTCTCCAGAACCAGGTTCTCCAGAACCAGCTCACCGTTTCATGGAAGTTCTGTAAACTGGGGTCCCGGTTCTGTTTGGATCCGGTTTCCTCTGATAGTTAATAGCTATTCAGTTTCTGTGTTTGGGTCCAACTTTTTTTCCCGAGCCGTGGGTCCGGTTCGGTCCGGTTCTGTAGTCTGCTTATAGATGGAACCCAAGTTCTTTTAATCTGGTTCTGGTTTTATTAGACTTTCGGAGCAGCTCTGACCCGGTTCTGCTTGGACTCAGACAGCAGCTGCTGTCGGAACCGGCCTCGGGCCAGAACCAGGGCGGGTTCTGGCTGTCAGACTGTGACGAGTCTGGCCGCCGCTCAGCGCCTGTCCGCCTGATGATTCTGGACGGGCCGTCAGCCGAACCGCCCGGCGCCACTTGGCGGCCGCTCCGCGTCTTCAGGGCGTTTGGACCGGACCGGGCCGGGCCGAGCTGCCAGCCGCTGCCTCGGCGCCAACATGGCGGCAGATTGATGAGTTTGTTCTGATGCGTTCAGACGCGCAGAGGACGCGGCGCAAAAATAGGCTGAAGGTCGCGGCGGCGCGGAGACTCATCAATCTGTTGGTTCGGTTCTGAGAGCCGGTTCCGATTCAGACACAACCGGGTCACAACTGGAACCAAATGACAGCAAAACCATCAAAATATAAAAAAATTAAAAAAATCCAAAAACCCAGCGGTTCTGGTTCCGATCGGACGCACAACCAGAAATCACTTTCTACAGCATCATGACCTCTGACCTCAGCAGAGCTTCTGTTAGAAACCTGAACTGGTTCCGGTTCTTCAGTCCGTGACTTTATGGATTTTCCGTTATTTCTTTTTTCATATCGTCTTGATGATAATAATAATAATAATAATAATAATAATAATAATAATAGGACTTGGGATTATAATTCCTCCCATCGTCTCATTCTGGGCCGGTTCTGTTGCCCCGCTGGGTCAGTCCCGTCCTGTCTTCCGAACCGGATCAGAACCTTCCGGTTTCTTAATCCACATTTATGGAAAATCAGATTTTATGATTTTTGATTTAAAATGTTCAAATAAAATCATTTCATTCAAATTTTACTTTCAGTAAAAGTTGATTTTTTTTTTATTAGCAGCAGAAAGTTGTTGGATTTCACATGACAATATTTAGCCTATGACATCATCAACATCTGATGACATCATTAATATTCGGGGTTTGATTTTCTGTTTGTCTTTCAGTTGCTGCTCATCTGCCTGATTATTGTTTATCATAAAATCATCATTTCTTCATTTCAGCCTGGATCCGCCACAGATCTGTAAACTTTGACTAGACCTGCTGGTTTGATTTTAATCTGAAGTTAATTCTACAATAGTGTTAAAGTTTCTTCAGTTCCTTCTGCTGGCACATTTCCAATAAATTCAATAAAAATATCAAATGTTTTGTTTATAATGTTGCTAATATCAAGACCATTTATTCCTCATGAACATCATTTACTGCTGAGCTTCACGCAGAACGTTCTGATCCGGAGGACCGGATGTTGGAGGCGGGTCGTCTGGTCGTGTCTGCGTCCATTTGGATGTCAGAGACGCTCTGACCGGACGGACCGGAACCTGTTGACCTTTGTCCCCTTCAGTCAGGCTTCATGTTCTAACAGCAGCAGATCACTGGATCCACTGGATCACTGGGACTGGATCCACCGGGTTTGGATCCACTGGGACTGGATCCACTGGGTTTGGATCCACTGGGACTGGATCCACTGGGTTTGGATCCACTGGGACTGGATCCACTGGGTTTGGATCCACCGGGTTTGGATCCACTGGGACTGGATCCACTGGGTTTGGATCCACTGGGACTGGATCCACTGGGTTGGATCCACTGGGACTGGATCACTGGGACTGGATCCACCGGGTTTGGATCCACTGGGACTGGATCCACTGGGTTTGGATCCACTGGGACTGGATCACTGGGACTGGATCCACTGGGTTTGGATCCACTGGGACTGGATCACTGGGACTGGATCCACTGGGTTTGGATCCACTGGGACTGGATCCACTGGGTCTGGATCCACCGGGTTTGGATCCACTGGGACTGGATCCACTGGGTTTGGATCCACCGGGTTTGGATCCACTGGGACTGGATCCACTGGGTTTGGATCCACTGGGACTGGATCCACTGGGTTTGGATCCACTGGGACTGGATCCACCGGGTTTGGATCCACTGGGACTGGATCACTGGGACTGGATCCACTGGGTTTGGATCCACTGGGACTGGATCCACTGGGTTTGGATCCACTGGGACTGGATCCACCGGGTTTTGATCCACTGGGACTGGATCACCTGGAGGATCCACTGGGTTTGGAATCCACTGGGATGGATCCACTGGGTTTGGATCCACTGGGACTGGATCACTGGGACTGGATCCACCGGGTTTGGATCCACTGGGACTGGATCCACTGGGTTTGGATCCACTGGGACTGGATCCACTGGGTTTGGATCCACTGGGACTGGATCCACCGGGTTTGGATCCACTGGGACTGGATCCACTGGGTTTGGATCCACTGGGACTGGATCACTGGGACTGGATCCACCGGGTTTGGATCCACTGGGACTGGATCCACTGGGTTTGGATCCACCGGGTTTGGATCCACTGGGACTGGATCCACTGGGTTTGGATCCACCGGGTTTGGATCCACTGGGACTGGATCCACTGGGTTTGGATCCACTGGGACTGGATCCACTGGGTTTGGATCCACTGGGACTGGATCACTGGGACTGGATCCACTGGGTTTGGATCCACTGGGACTGGATCCACTGGGTTTGGATCCACTGGGACTGGATCCACCGGGTTTTGATCCACTGGGACTGGATCACTGGGACTGGATCCACTGGGTTTGGATCCACTGGGACTGGATCCACTGGGTTTGGATCCACTGGGACTGGATCACTGGGACTGGATCCACCGGGTTTGGATCCACTGGGACTGGATCCACTGGGTTTGGATCCACTGGGACTGGATCCACTGGGTTTGGATCCACTGGGACTGGATCCACTGGGTTTGGATCCACTGGGACTGGATCCACCGGGTTTGGATCCACTGGGACTGGATCACTGGGACTGGATCCACCGGGTTTGGATCCACTGGGACTGGATCCACTGGGTTTGGATCCACCGGGTTTGGATCCACTGGGACTGGATCCACTGGGTTTGGATCCACCGGGTTTGGATCCACTGGGACTGGATCCACTGGGTTTGGATCCACTGGGACTGGATCCACCGGGTTTGGATCCACTGGGACTGGATCACTGGGACTGGATCCACTGGGTTTGGATCCACTGGGACTGGATCACTGGGACTGGATCCACTGGGTTTGGATCCACTGGGACTGGATCACTGGGACTGGATCCACCGGATAATTGATATTTTGCTGAATTCCGATGACCTGCTGACCCCTGGCCGTCTCTGATTGGTTGTGCTCCAGTCAGATGCTGCACAGGAAGTGACGTCGCTCGGTGGACAGACGTCCAGCGTCTTCTGGTGTTGCTCTATGTTCAGGGCGAGAGGCTGGAGGAGGGGAAGTGACGTCATCAGACATCGCAGACTGCGAGGGCCAGCAGCCGGAGCTGTTCTGTGGTAACCATAGCAACCAGATCATTCAGAAATGGCGGAACCGGGCCGTGGAACCGGGCCGTGGAACCGGGGATGTTGTTCTGCAGCCAGCAGAACATCTATGCAGGTTTTCTATGTTTTCTATGAATAAATTCAAGTTCGAACCCAGAAACGATCAGAAATATGGAAGATTTGCAAATGAATGAATGAACAGTAATAAACATGTTAACAACATAACGTTGCCATTTAAACGAGAATATTAATGAATCATCAGCAGATTATTAATCATTATATAATTTGGCATATTTTCCAGAAGCGAATAATGGATAATAATTGTCTTCCTGCGTCCAGAACCCGGTTCTGCTGGTGCAGAGTGAGCCGCTGTCCCCGGCCTGACCCTCTCCCTCCCGGCCCGGTTCGCCTTACCGAACCGGCCGGACCTCGCTATCTGCGGCTCCATCACATTCCTCCGCCACAAAGAGAGAACTGTGGCTCGGTTCAGGTATTCCCCTCTGAGCAGCAACCCGACCCACCCGCAGCACACCTTCACCTGGCACAGAACCGAACCAGAACCAGAACCAGAACCCGGGCTGGAGCCACAGCCTCAACCCGAACCCGCATGAAATAATACCAGGTCCAGAAACTCCTGCGGGTCGGAACTTGATCTTCACAAATTAATCCGGACATTTCCAGGAAGGTTCTGTTCGGTTTGGTTCGGTTCCTCCCATAGATGAAAAATAAGGAGAGAAATACAATGATCCCAGAACCGAATGAACCGAACCGTTCTGCCGAACCAGTCGGAACCGGATCAGTTGTTCTACCAGCCAGAACATTAGATGTTCCGAATCAGCTTGCAATGAAGATCCGGTCCAAGTTCTGGTTCCGATGCCGCTGTTTCCTCATAATTCAGAATTTAAATTAAATCCTGAAAGTTTTTATGTTTTGATGAAAACCGAAAAATAAAGAAACAAACAGAAGAACGTTCAAAAACACAGGAACCGCCTGATGAACGGATCAATGAACGGATGAGAAAGGTTCATAAAGCCTTCGGTCTTCCGACTGCTTCTGGTTCCGCTCGGTCAGTAGAACCTGGACTCCGGTTCGGTCAGCAGGTGTTTACATGACGAAGAACAAGAAGTTTGGAGTCACGTGGTTCTGCTGACGATGATGATGCTGAAGCTCTAATTAAGGCGGAGGAAGAAGAAGCGACCCGAGGCGCTCAACGGAGTGTGTGTGTGTGTGTGAGTGTGTGTGTGTGTGTGAGTGTGTGTGTGTGTGTGAGTGTGTGTGTGTGTGTGTGAGTGTGTGTGTGTGTGTGTGTGTGTGTGAGTGTGTGTGTATGTGTGTGTGAGTGTGTGGTGTGTGTGTGTGTGTGTGTGTGTGTGTGTGTGTGTGTGTGTGTGTGTGTGTGTGTGTGTGTTCCTGCCTGCTCACCTTGCCATGGGCTCCACACCAGATTGGTCGGTTTTTTTTACCCATGATTCCTCCCGGTTCGGAGCGGACTACATGTTGGCCGTCATGCCAGAACGAGCGGTTCCTCCGTGGGGTCCTGGTGCGCGCAGAGCCGAGTCGAGCCGAGCCGAACCGAACCACAGCAAATGAGGCTCTCTGACGGCGGCATGGCAGCCAAAAGCTCCGAGGGATCCATTAAATGGCAGCTGTGCTACGACATCTCCGCCCGAACCTGGTGGATGGTGAGTTGGACCAACTTTTTGGCTTGGTTCTGGTTCCTCCTTCCTCCTGCGCAGCTCTCCTCCTCATCCTCTCTGCCGCTTCATTTTAACTCTCGCTTTACTTTCCCACCTCTTTGGGACTGGTCCGAATCGGGTCCCGTTCTGGCCCAGTTCCGGTCCGGCTGCGGTCCGATCCTAGTTCGGTTTTGGTCCCGCTTCAGTCCCGTTCCCGTCCCGCCGGCTGCGCTCCGCGGCTCGGCGTCATCGCCAGGAAGTGTCCGGTTCTGAGTGCGCTCCCCGCGGCTACTAATTAGCGGACGGCCGCCTCCCTGGCCCGGTTCGGTTCGGGCCGAGCATCGGGCCGCCACGCCGGGACACAGTGGGCAGCGTTTGGCGGTCAGTGGAGCCAGGCGACCTTTGACCCCCCCGTCGCTGAGGGTGCTGGCAGGGGGCGGTTCTGGGGGCTGCGGGGCCACAATGGCTCTTTGTGTTCCGTCGGTCCAAATGAGCTGGAAGTTGAAAGCGCCGCTCGCTGCCCGGTCCAGTAGCCGGGTCCAGTACTGGGCAGCTCGGTACTGGACCGGGCCTCGGAGCTCCGGACGGACCGCGGCCGGTTCCGCGGCTGATTCCGCTGCAGAGCTGCAGGTTCGGGGAAAGCAGCAAGAAAAATGGTTTTATTTCCTCAGGAACTGAACCGAATTCCATCCAAGTTTAGGACCGGAACCCGAAGCCGCTTGGACTGATCAATGATGTCGATGTTTCTGCTGCACATTTTATTATTTTAGACATAATTTATTTGTTTTTATTTAAATAAAATGTTTTAATCCTGATTTGATGCCGCGGCGGTTCGGACTGAATTTAACTTTCATTTGGAGCAGAAAGGAAAAATGATCGGAACCGCTGCGGGTCCAATGAAGCGCAGTCAGTTTCTGCTGCTGTTTCATTTGCTGCAACTTCAAATTTACATTTTAGTTTCATTTTTGGTTCAATTTATTTACCCTGAAAATATTTCGTTATTAAAATAAGAGACATAAATTACAGATTTTATTCCGACAGATTTAAAAATATAAAAACACAATTTAGTCAGAAACGAGAAAATTATGAATTTTTTCGTTGCATTTTTACAGCAGAGCAGAAAAATGACGATAATAAATGAACTTTTAATTCCTATAAACGGACCGAACCGGACCGGAAGATGTTGGAAAGTTCTGGATTTTCTTTTAATTTTTTTTAATTATCTGAAATAAATTAATCTGAAAACTGCAAAAAACTTCAAATATTGGAAAAAGATCTGTTTGTTTTTCAAATATATCAACATTAAAAAATCCATTTGAATTTCTGATGATTGGATTTTATTCCTGAACATGCCGAGCCGCTGCCGGCCCGTTTGGACCGGGACCGGTTAGGAACAGCCGAACCCCCGGCAGCGCTGCGGTGAACGGCTGGAAGATCAGAACCGATCAGAGTCTTGTTGTCTTCATTGGGGTTCTGGTTCTGCTTGACAGACGGAACCAGATCCCAAACAGAACCTTTAGAGGAAGACGTTTAAAGGAGTTGAAAAGTTGCTGATATTTTGTGAATTTTCTCTGACGGGCGGTTCTGATGGACCCGTCCAACAGAACCTTTTTCCCAGCCCATCAGAACTTCTGAACCAAATAAGATAATTCTGCATATTTCTGTGGTTCTGATCCATCTTCGTGCACAGCCTTCTGGTTCCGGTCCTGGTTCTGGTTCTCTAAAATGACTCATGAATCATATTTCATATTCGCTCATATTTTTGTCCTGAGGGTTCTGGTCGGGTTCGGGGACTCGGTCAGTCAGATGAATTTAGTTTCATTTCCAGTCAGAATAAATTCTGACCCTGTTGTGACCCGGTTCTGGTTCTGTAGGGTTAACAGTGTCTCTGTGTCCGGGCCGAGTTCTGGTTCTGGTTCTGATTTGGACCGGGTCTGCAGCAGCCAGAGATGATTAAAGGAGGAAATTGGAGGATTAGAGTTTGTCTGCTTGAACTTCCTGACCCCCCCGCGGCCGGGACACCGTGACGTCACGTTGCCGCGGCGACCGGAGGCGGAGCCTCCGTCTCCTGTCTGTTGGCTGAACGTGTTTCTCTCCCTCCGCGGAGAACGTTCTCCTGACACTCGGCTCCCGCGGAGAACGTTCTCCTGACACTCGGCTCTCGGTCTAGTCAAAGTTTCCTGCTCAGCAGTTTGGACCTCCTGCGGTGAACCATCCGAACAGAACCGGGGCTCAGAAAGCCTTGGATTTTCCCGACCCAGTTTCTGTTCTGGTCCATGTCCCAGATTTTCCTCCAGAACCTTCAGCTCAGATGACGGTTCTGACCCGGTTGGGAATGTTCCGAACCTTTTGGATCCAACAACCTACCACTGGTTCTGCGGTATCGATCGACCCAAAGAGGACGGGTTCTGGTTCCAGGACCAGGTTCAGTGTTTCAGTTCCTGAAACACTGAACCCAACCGGACCGGACCCCCTCCTGTGTTCTGGCTCGGTTCTCTGGGATTCTGGGTCGAGTTTCAGGTCTAATCCGGACCAGAACCGACCCGCCTCATGCTGAGGTCCATATCGCTCCAAGCTCCAATATCCGGTCCAGTTCTGCAGTTCAGCCTCAGATGACAGTAATTATTGTTATAATTATTGTTAATTAATTGTTATTAATATTATTAAAGGCTTGTGATTGTAAAGCTGCAGCCCGAAGGTTATTAAAATAATCAGTTCATCTAAAATATCACATTTATTCTTCACATCAAAAAGTTTCAGATTGAAAAATTATTTGAATGTTTAGGATTTTATAGAATGAACTGGTTATCAGTTTATTGCTCATTTTTTTAGTGAGTTTTAATAACTCCGCCTCATTAACATATTCAAATGAACAACTTTATCTAATGTATGTACATTTAGCAGCAGGGGAACCGGGCCGGCGGTGGTTCTGAGGCCCGGGTTCTCCTCATAATGAAGCAGATGTTATCTGGACCGGCCCGGAAAAGCAGGACCGGTTCTGGTTCTGGACCTTCTGATTGCGGTTCTGTAGCAGAACCATCGTAGGCTCAGTATCAGAACCTCCGTCCTGCTCCAGTAGTTTTGGACAAGTGTGGAACTACTGTGCAGAGCTTTGTTTCATGCAGCAGCTTTGGAACCGACACCAGAACCAGAACCGACCCAGGATTCTCATCTTTCAGCTGGAATAAAAATAAAACTCCATAAAACCAAAATAAATAAACACAAACATCTAAAATAGAAAGTTAGAAAATAAACTCTGAAAGTTTTTCCGGCGGTTTTGGGAACTGACGATCTGACGGGATCTGAACGTCATGCTAACATGCTAACATGCTAACACATTAAATATGATCAATACAGAAATAATAGCATAAGCACTAAAGAAAACTTGTGCAGAAACTGAAAGTCAATCATTTTATTTCAATTCTCAAGTTTCAAACTGTAAACATTTTACACCCAAATAAACATTCATAAAAATCTGTAATTCAGTAAAAGTAAGAACCTGGAGGACTAGGAGGACCTGGAGGACCTGGAGGACCTGGAGGACTAGGAGGACCTGGAGGACCTGGAGGACTAGGAGGACCTGGAGGACTAGGAGGACACGGAGGACTAGGAGGACCTGGAGGACTAGGAGGACCTGGAGGACTAGGAGGACCTGGAGGACTAGGAGGACTAGGAGGACCTGGAGGACTAGGAGGACCTGGAGGACTAGGAGGACCTGGAGGACCTGGAGGACCTGGAGGACTAGGAGGACTAGGAGGACCTGGAGGACTAGGAGGACTAGGAGGACTAGGAGGACCTGGAGGACTAGGAGGACTAGGAGGACCTGGAGGACTAGGAGGACTAGGAGGACCTGGAGGACCTGGAGGACTAGGAGGACTAGAGGACCTGGAGGACTAGGAGGACCTGGAGGACTAGGAGGACTAGAGGACCTGGAGGACTAGTAGGACCTGGAGGACTAGGAGGACCTGGAGGACTAGGAGGACCTGGAGGACTAGGAGGACTAGAGGACCTGGAGGACTAGGAGGACCTGGAGGACTAGGATGCCTCTCTGAAGGGAGTGAAACTTGCCGACCATCAGAACTTGTCAGGATGTTCCAGGACCTGCAGGACCCGATTCTGCTGACTAGAGGTTCTGACCTGATCCACCAGAGTTAGCTCTAGGCTAACGCTAGCATGTCTCCTTTATTTTAATAGGACTTGTTGGTAACCAGGTTCGCTCCAGGTCACATGACCCGGGCAGAAAGTGAGGACGGATTCTCTTTACTTCCCGGTTCTGTTCAGTTCTGATCCGGTTCAAGTTTCCTGGGACCAGCAGCTCGATCTGACTCTTCATCATCATCATCATCATCATCATCATCATCATCATCATCATCATCATCATCATCATCATCATCATCATCATCATCTTCATCATCATCAGTCAGAGGTTCTGGGTCAGACATCAGAACCGGGCCAGAAGCTCCGGCTAGTTTCCACATTTCAAAACGATGCTGTGTGGATCAGCAGCCAATCAGAGGCCAGGCTGGGCGAAGGGGGCGGGGTCTGTGGTGACAGGAACATGTTGGAACCAGAACCAGCGGCGCCATCTGCTCCGGGCTCTGGGCCGGTTCCGCGTCAGTCTCCAGGCTGTTTGTTGGCAGCGCTGGGCTCCTGCCAGGCAGCCGTCAGGGTTCTGGCCCGGTACCAGCGGCGCCGGTTCTTCCTGTTTGCAGCTTCACGCTTCGCTGCTCCTGTCAGGAGTCCGTTTGGATCGGAGGGACCCCGGTTCTGGACGCTCTGTCCATGCTGGGCTCGCCATGCAGAACCAGGAGAATCTGCTGCGGTCCGGTTCTGATCCAGCAGAGTAGATTCTCCCAGAACGCGTCTCCAGATCTTTGTTTCCTGCAGGGAGCCAAACATTTTCCTGAGGATGAAATGATGGATCTTTTCTCCATACAGTGATGATATTCCACGGTTCTGGTGGATGGACTCTCGCTCCTCCATAGTGCCATATTCCATGTCTAATCCTTATTTATAAAGTATTTATAAAGTATTTATAAAGTATTTATAAACTATTTATAAAGTATTTATAAAGTATATGGACGTTCATCTCTCGGTGTCGATCAGCTGACGTCATTCTGAGCCTTTTGTTTGCAGAACCTTGACGACGTTTTCCTGTGAAATCCGCTAAATACAAGCGACATGACGGATTCTGACAGGAGGTGACGTCACGTGCAAAGGGTCATACTGTCCTATTAGTTTTGTTTTTTAATTAACTTGAGTTTATTTTATTGCCTAATTAACCGCTACTTCTCTTGATTTGACTAATTTCATCCAGATGATGGACGGACATTTTCTGACAGCTGATTGGTCAGTTGCTGACAATACCCTGCAATGATTGGAGGAGGATTAGTCCACGTGTGGAAGGGGGCGGAGCCGGAAGTGATAATACTGTAGATAATACTAAGTTCAAATCCTCTAACAAGATGGGTTTTTTTTTAACTAAAAATATAATAATTTGTTTCTATTTTGTGTCTTTTGATGAAAATGTTGCAGCAACTTCAAGTAAGGAATGTTAAATCAGATAAAAAAACAAATCAAATATTTTCTGGGGGGCTGTAGCGCCCCCTGGCGCCGCCTTCTCCCTGATGATGGTGTCTCTCTGTTCCCATGGAAACAGTCTGCTCCTGCTGGCCCGGTTCTGGTCGGTTCTGAGCGGTTCTGAGCGGTTCTGGTCGGTTCTGGTCGGTTCTGAGCGGGTCTGGTCGGTTCTGAGCGTGCCCAGTGTGATCTTCTTTACGGCTCTGAGTGATTAACCAATCAGTAAATGGATCAGAACCTCAGCACAGCAGCTGGCCCGATCCGATTAGCGGCGCCGCCAGATGTTGGAGGACCTGCTGCTTCTCTGGGTCACATGATACGGACCCGACCCATTTGCAGAACTGGGACATCCTCTGTGACCCACCTTCAGGTCAAAGGTCAACAATGAAGACATTCCAGGATCTGCAGGAGGCACCACAGAACCCGCTCCTTTCCTCCAGAACCAAAACCAGAACCACCACCTGGTTCCAGTGGTTCTGGTTCTGTGAGGTGTTTCCAGTGCGAGCGCTTCAGAGCTGCAGAGTCAGCAACCCGCCAGGTCCAGTTGCAGGCGGTTCTGCTCTTGGACTGAAACCGGACCCGGCCGCTGGCAGACCCGGAATTGAAGCGGCTTGGGTTTCTGAGGATGGTCCTGGAGAGAACCGGACCGGGCCGGGTCCAGGATGAGCTCCTGCTGGGCTGGAGCTGCTCAGAGGAAAAGCAGAGCAGGAATCGAACTGGCGACCTGCAGGGGAAGCTGGAGCGGTACCGACCCGCAGCATGATGCTGCTATGCTCAGACAGTTCTGGTCCATCCGGCTCCCTGGTTCTGGTTCTGTCTGATATTTAAAGGATCTGGACTACAACTTGACCTGCAGCTGGCTTCTTCTGGACTGCAGGGGGCGCCATTCAGCCACCGGGTCCGACTGGGTCAGAAACAGAACCTTCAGCCATCAGCCCCCTGGCCCCAGCAGGAAGCGTGTGTGCAGTTCTGGTTCTGCTTCTAATAAAGCGGGCCGGGCCTGGGGCTGAACTTCCTGTAGCTCTGCTTTGATTTATCTCAGATGTAAACAGAGAGCCTTCCTCTCCTCCTCCTCTTCCTCCTCGGTTTATTTGGGTTCCGGGCCCGGCCCGGCCGGCGATGCAACCGGATCGCTGGGCTCGTCAAAATGTTGCAGGTCCTGCTGAACCGTAGAGCAGGAAGTTCCCTGATCGCCGGATCGTCTTCAGCAAATAAAGTAAAATAAAATAAAATAAAATAAATTCCTTTCTGGTGAAACATCCTGGATAACGAGGAGCAGCTGGAGACACACACACACACACAGACACACACTGAGACACACACACACTGACACACACACACACTGAGACACACACACACTGACACACACACACACACACACACAGACACACACAGACACACACACACACTGAGACACACACACACTGACACACACACACACTGACACACACACACACACACTGACACACACACACACACACACACAGACACACACAGACACACACACACACTGACACACACACACACTGAGACACACACACTCTGAGACACACACACACACACACACTGACACAAACACACACTGACACACACACACACTTAGTGTCTGAAGTTCTGTTTCAGAACCACCAGACTGCTGGTCAGAACTGGATGAGAACCGGATCAGAACCTGGTCAGAATCTCACAACTACTTTATCAGGACCTTTTGATGTTTTCCACCAGAACCGGCGATCCAGTGTGAAGGTTCTGTCTGCAGAGCACCGTTCTAGAACCTTTGTTTTTCTATTGACCCAGAACCAAATATTGGGCCAAAGTTCTGGTTCAGGCCAGGGCGGTTCCGTTTGAGCCAGTTGCCACCCGGAATCGTCCCGTGTTGAACCGATTTGCTCCGTTTTTCTATCAGTGTCCGATTGACATGCTTATCACACGCATGTCAACTGTTCAGTTAACCCTGTAACCAAAATTAGTAAAAACAAGGAAATATTCAGGTCAGCTAGATTCTTGTGGCCGGAGCTAAAGGGCCCCAGACCGACGCTGTTGGCTGCCTACAGACGGACACTACGCAGCCGCGGTGAGCAGCTACCAACCCGCGTCTTTTTACAGTGTCCACCGATTCTCCACTGTCTTTAGGAAAGACGCTGAACAATGTTAGTGGGGATCAGGGCGCCGCCAGGAAACATGGGAGAAAAAATTACAGAGCAGCTGCTGTTACAATTTCTTGAGTCTGTTTGACCCATAAAAAGCATCACAATTGTAAAGGCTTGCAACCTTCTGTGGTCCAATACTGATACTAGCAATATTTACTGCTCATGAATTTTACATCCTCCAGTCCACAGTTTGCAAGTTGGTTGTTTACATTTTTAACAGCCAGTAACAGCCAGTTGTTCTTGTTTTCCACTGATTCCTGCAGCTCCAACTCCAACCCCAACTCCAACCCCAACCCCAACCCCAACTCCAACCCCAACCCCAACCCCAACTCCAACCCCAACTCCAACTCCAACCCCAACACCAACCCCAACCCCAACCCCAACTCCAACTCCAACTCCAACTCCAACCCCAACTCCAACCCCAACCCCAACCCCAACTCCAACTCCAACTCCAACCCCAACTCCAACCCCAACTCCAACTCCAACCCCAACACCAACCCCAACCCCAACCCCAACTCCAACTCCAACTCCAACTCCAACCCCAACTCCAACCCCAACCCCAACCCCAACTCCAACCCCAACTCCAACTCCAACCCCAACCCCAACCCCAACTCCAACCCCAACTCCAACCCCAACTCCAACTCCAACCCCAACACCAACCCCAACCCCAACACCAACTCCAACCCCAACCCCAACTCCAACCCCAACCCCAACTCCAACTCCAACTCCAACCCCAACCCCAACTCCAAATCCAACTCCAACTCCAACCCCAACCCCAACCCCAACCCCAACTCCAACCCCAACTCCAACTCCAACTCCAACCCCAACCCCAACACCAACCCCAACTCCAACTCCAACTCCAACTCCAACTCCAACCCCAACCCCAACTCCAACTCCAAATCCAACTCCAACTCCAACCCCAACCCCAACCCCAACCCCAACTCCAACCCCAACTCCAACTCCAACTCCAACCCCAACCCCAACACCAACCCCAACCCCAACTCCAACCCAACCCCAACTCCAACCCCAACCCCAACTCCAACTCCAACCCCAACCCCAACTCCAACCCCAACTCCAACTCCAAATCCAACTCCAACTCCAACCCCAACCCCAACCCCAACTCCAACCCCAACCCCAACTCCAACTCCAACCCCAACCCCAACTCCAACCCCAACTCCAACTCCAACTCCAACCCCAACCCCAACTCCAACTCCAACTCCAAATCCAACTCCAACCCCAACCCCAACTCCAACCCAACCCCAACTCCAACCCCAACCCCAACTCCAACTCCAACTCCAACTCCAACCCCAACTCCAACTCCAACCCCAACTCCAACTCCAACTCCAACCCCAACTCCAACCCCAACTCCAACCCCAACTCCAACTCCAAATCCAACCCCAACTCCAACCCCAACTCCAACCCATTTCCTGCAGACTTTCTGTGGGGCTCGAGGACAAATATGTGTTTTTGGTCTGCGAGGGGAACATTTCATTAATACAGCTAAAAACAATATATGATTAATTTTGTAATTGACAGGGTCCCATTTCTATGAATAATAAATAAATAGTGGAGGCCCCCTGTCAGTCAGGGGCCCTTCGAATTGTCCGAACTGTTCCCCCATGCGGCGCCCAGTGAGGATGAACACAGGCAATTAAGGAAAATGTGTGTGTTGTGGCCCTGTGTGCTGCCGTATGACAGATAGAATGGATTAGGAGAAGAACTGTAGATCCGTCAGAACCCAAAGAACCTGAAATCGAAAATCTGCATCCCTCAATCACCTCCTGAGACTGATGTGGTACAGAAGATTTAGCTGTAATCAATTAAGTTTCATTTTGTGCTTTTAGTCAACTATTATGGTCTGATTATTTGCTTAGCATTGCGTTTGGATTAAATTTGATTTATTATAATATAGTATCAGCCAAATTAATATAAGTTGCCATTTAAAGAACAAATCATACTAAGAGATTAACAGTAAATAAATACGTAAATATTTTCTACATTTAAAAAGTTTGATCACACTTTCCATCTGCCAGTGTTAGGGTTGACTGACTTATATTAAATGATGCTGCCCTGTTGAAAGCACACTGCCGACCCCGGCCTCTGTGGTAAATTTGGTCTAGAACCAGCCTCCAAACCTAACTCCTTATTTCTAGAAATATTTTGGTTATATTCTTTTACATGGGGCTACCCAGTGGCACAGTTGGTAGCTCTGTTGCAGCAAGAAGGTCCTGGGTTCGATTCCCGGCCCAGGGTCTTTCTGCACCGAGTCTG